CCGGGAAATCACGTTATACATAGGCTGTAGTAATTACCAGTCTTATGGTCCCAAATAGTGCCTTGCATCGCAATGAAGCTTACGTAGACCATTGAATAACATTGACCCTAAACTTTTTTTATTCCCTGAAGACGCCCTATTACATCTACATCCGAAGGCAGACCTCGATGATGACAGTCTCAAGCAGCTTTTCCAGAAGCTTTTTGACGACACGAAGGCAGCTTCAAGCTCCCAATTAGGGCTCTAAACCCTAAACCCTATGGCGTTATATGAGGATTATATGGGATTATATTGGGGTTATACTGGGATTATGTAGGGATTATATTGGGGTTATACTGGGATTATGTAGGGATTATATTGGGGTTAGAGGGTGTTGTGTGCCTAGACCAGGGTCCTTTGCTCGGGTGGGGATGGCCAAAGCTCCTACATGAAATTGATATGTTTAGGATTTAAGGTTTAGGGGGTCCTCGCTTGGTGGATTCTTGAGGTGAATTTGTTGGTCCTTTGTCTGCTGATGGGTCGTTGCTGAATAACCCTTTACATGCTTATCTGCAGTGCAACCCAATACTCACTTCACAAAGGTCATTAAGGAGCATGGGAATGTCAGGCAAGACATTCTCAGCTGAGTACTGGGGGTTAATTCCAAGGAGTAATAGTCATGGTAAAAGTAATAGCTAGCTTGTAATAGGAATTGTACTGGTAATAGCTATGGTAATGGCAATAGCAAGAGTAAATTGTTCAAGCTGGACACAACTAGTGTTGCAATGACCGTTCATGCAAGGCCCATTGGACTGCGACTCTGAGTTGGAAACCCTTAACCAGCAACGTTGGATTCTACCTCCAGTGACGGTGGCATATTACCAAAATGTAGGGCCCCTATTCCAGTTACCAGTATCCCTTGTAGTCACTGCTCGCAGGTTGGACCTAAACCTGTTAAATTTCATGAAACATTCTGGGGAGCACGGAGGACAGACGACACTGCCATTGAACTATGTTCTATGGTTCAGAGCTTAGGGCTCAGGGCTGAGTGTTTAGGGGTTCTGGGGCTTAGGGCTTGGAGTTTAGACGAAGGGGCCCTAAACCTTAAACCCTAAACCTTAAATCTGTAACCTTGAACCATAAACCCTAAACCCCTGAGCTCTCGCTCTTCCGGCCTTGGGCTTTGCTGCCTACTCCTCTGAGGCCTTACCTTCCAACCACTGAAGCCGCCAGTAGTCAACTTGGTTGCTAGTGAGGAACTTAAACTAGGGTTTAGGCTTAGGGTTCAGGGTTACTACTGTATAACAAGGACACCCTACTTATTCACCACATATCCTTATGAGCTTTGGCTCCCTAACAGCAACCCAGTCAAGGAAACCTTCATGCCCTACGCGAGTAGTACTTAAAGGCGGCTCCGTCTCCAACAGAGAATAAGGTTATACCCGCCGTATGAAATTCTGGCATAATTTCTGTTTACGGAGGAAGAAGAATATTATCGTACCTGGTTTAGCCACCAAAGACCATCCATCACCCACAGCATGCAGGCCGGCATAGTCACTCGAGACCGAGCTGCACGCGGGGGCGGCGATGTCCAGCTCCCAGAAAGCGGGGTCCAGGGCGGCGCGTTTTAAACTCCGGACCATAGAGCAAACCGCACGAATATAATACAATACTACAGAATGCCGTAATGCAGTCTTTTTTTAATATAGACATCTAGTATCATGATACTGTAGTAAAAAAAAAGTGATATACCTACTAAAGTTGCAACAAGGATGGAGAAGACGCTTTGCCCATCAAAGTGCTTGAAGCTTTTTATGATACTTTAACAGAGTCCAGCCGCAACAGAGACTCTAATTACATCTCATTTCCTGTGTGCCCACTTAGAAACGGGGAATTCCGCAGCATTTGGGATACCCCAAATCCTAAACAGTATCGCATCACTGCGACGTTCCAAAAGGTGTGTGGCTAGTGAGAAGCCCAGCTTATGAGATCATGGGTAAAGCAGTTTCCGAGTATTAGGGTTTGTAGGGTTTAGGGTCCAAGTATAACCCTTCTGTCAGCATGGTTTACTATACAGTGTGCGCCAAAGACCTGTTGAAAACTAGCCGTGCCCATACCTTAGCCTCCCAGGCCTTGGGTACTTTGAGCTGAAGGTTTGCTTCATAATTTGCTAGTGATAAAGAGACCAGTTGTGGACTTAAGGGTCCAAATACCTAAGAAGCACCAACCTTGAGTCAAAGCACCTGTTTAGGAGATCATGCGGGCCCTAAACAGCAACATCTAGATGCTTGGAAGCGTATTGTATGCATGTATGCAGGTTTTTTTTGCCTTCTTTGACAAAGTTGGTGTGCTCTGAACACTTGCACCCTTGCTCCCTTGCTCATTGCTCCTCAAGCCACACCCAAGTAGGTCATAGCATCCCAACCTCCATGTTAGCTGGAAACTACATACACTCCAAACAGCACCTTCCACTTCCAAGGCTCCCACAAAAGCCAAGCACATGCGCACAATTTCAACTTCAGTACAAAGTAAGCTGGCTTTTGGGGTACAGGTTCTATGCGTTTATTGCTCGCAGGGATGAGGGATTCGTAGCCCACTTTCCCAGTAGCTGGTACCTGAAGGTATCTGATACCATAATTCCAGTGACTTTTCCCAGTTTTCAGCTGAGAATCCAACCTTAAACCCGACGTCGAGATCCCAAAGTCCTAAACCCTCAACATTCCTAAGCCTTAAGTCCTAAACCCTAAATCCTAGACTTTAAATCCGTGTCGCAAATCATTTGGGCCCGGAAAAAATCCAGCTCTGCCAACTGTGTAGGCTGTACCTAGAGGTTCTAGGGTTTAGGGTTAAAGTAGGTAAAATGTAGTTATAAAAGTATGGTAGCTCCAGTTAAGGGACCTGTAAGCCCATGTATAGCCTACTTACTAAGTGCCCCGGGCCGAGCATCAGCAGCACGGCCTCCTACCACAAGAGTATGGTATGCAGAAGCCAGGAAGCTCTGCGTATCATAGTGAGCTTGGTAATGTAGAGGACCCAAGGAGTTGTAATGTAATCCCCTCATAGTTTATGTTGTAATATACCAATATATCTGTCGTCTGCTAAGAACACCCCGAAGCCCCATGCCACGTATTCAGGCCCATACGGTAGTGCCATTTGCTGGAGGTTGTAGCTCATTTGGGGCTTATCCAGCCCTTGTTGAATCCGTGTCCAGGCTTGCAATCTTGAACCCTGAGCCGTGCTCCCTCACTGGCAGCTTAAACCGCACCTAGACCCTTATACCCACCCTTTTCATTGGGCACCCTAACTTTGTATATAGAAGATACTAGACAAAAGGTCGGGTACCCCAAAACGGGTAGGGCAGAAGCGTTCAGGTAAGCCCTACAAGGCCCAAACCCTGAACCCTAAACCCCCAAGCTCTAAGACCTAAACCTGACCCCACAATCTCCAAACCCTAAACCCCAATTCCTGAACCCTGAACGTGAAGCCGTTAAACCGTAGCAAGACTCCTACTTCAGATGCCGCGCGGCTACCGTGTGCAGAAGATCATCTCAGCAGGGAGTCTGAGTTACAGCTGTTGTAGCGTTTAGGGTTTCAGGGTTTCAGGGCTTAGGATCTTAGAGTTTTAGGGTTTCAAGCTTTGAGGGTTTGGGATCTCGGACTTAATGTTCCGGGTTTTGATGGGGTGTAGGTGCATGGACGAAATCCTGTGATGTCACAGCCAGCCCCGCCTAGACCCTGCGACGGAATTGAAATACTTTGTGCAATGAAGCATACTAGACTCAAAAAGGAGCCGCACGCTCCCCTCAACATAAGATTGAGGTATCCAGCAGTATTGGTGCATCAACAGCATTCTTTAGGAGGACCCCCCACCCTGTAATAGTGGTATAATAAGAATGTAAGAGGACCCTAATATAATCCCTATCATCCCTCATAGTCACTATTACCGGGTGGGGGGTCCACCTAAAGTATTCTAGCCATGGGATTCTACTTTTGAGTGCTCAGGCTGATGTCGGCCAAAGCACCCTTTCAGAGTTGAGGTTGGGGGGGGGGGGGGTTAGGGTTTAGGGTGTACGGTTTAGGGAT